TAAAAATACCCTATATAATATATATTTAAAATTTTCTAACATCCCCTCTGAAGTGCTAATGCAATGAAATCATTTGCATTTTGATAATCCAGATATCTAACATTATTTTATAATTACAGGTCTGCTTACCAATTGTGAACACATTTAGTTTGAATGTTCTATGAACCAATCAGCTATTACCATGGAAGAGGGGCGTAGCTTACGGGCCAAGTTAGCGTGGAAATTCTATAATGAGGTATATATATATATATATATATATATATATATATATATATATATATATATATATATATATATATATATATATATATATATATATATATATATATATATATATATATATATAACACGCACACGAAAATACTGGACATTGGAAGAGTTGATCTGCCATATCATGGAGGTGGAGGGGTCATTCAGCACATCCCTAATGGTCTGGTAGGGCTGTTTGATGTGTCTCACCGCCAGACTGGACATAAGGTTCCCAGCGTAGCTCCTGATCAACACCAACGCCGTCACCATCCATCCCGCCACAACTGCTCGCCTCCACCACTCGCTGCCCCGTACCAGGTTGTCTGTGTGAAAGATGGTTTATGAAACCCTGATGTGTTTATGACACTTTGTGTAGCAGTACCTCTATTTGTACTCATTTACGTAGTAATAATGTCTTTTATTTGTTAATAGATATGTCATAATGTTGATTAATATTGACAAAAAACATGTGTATCGCATTTTCTATGAGCGACATAAGATTAACCTTGTTGTAACAATATGCGAATGAGGTCAAAAATATCCTTCGTCCATGTGTGTTGATTAACAGCTTTAAATGAGAAGAATGAAGACAAGAGGAATATGACCACAGGCAGCAGCAACAGCACCGCCAGGATGGCCGTCCACACCTGCGGCGTGAGAGGCAGCAGGAAGCCCCAAGGATCCACCTCTGGGAGTCCTCTACTTCCCATGATCCTCGAGTACTGTATAGTCACTGGCCAGGTGAAGTCCACCACCTCAGTGCGGCTCTCGGTGATCCCGAACGGTCCAAGTGCAATATCCGCTTCCTATGTGGGGGAAGTTTGAAGGAAAAAACGTAAAAGTAATAACTAGAAGTTAATTCTTGGAAAGTTTAAAAAAAACATTAATGTCAACTTGGAACTCGAGACGAGAGTAAAGGACACAGCAATTTATATTAAAGTAATATAGTTTCGATGTCCACAGACATCCTCTTCATATATGAGTAACAGCTGAAGATGCTATCAATGGGTATCAACTTTTGCTGGTCTAACACAATTTAAATTTTGTTTGAGTTCCTAGATGTAAATTACTAAAATCCACGATATATTAATCTAAATATTTTTTTTTCAAAGTTGCCAAGGTATAAAGCGGATTAACATTAAATAATGCCACCAGAAAAAAAAATCCTCCCCTCAACCAAGAGAATCCCCGTCCGCCCTCCTTTAGCTATACAATGGTTAAGGGGAGACTATGTTCCTTGCATATATATATATATATATATATATATATATATATATATATATATATATATATATATATATATATATATATATATATATATATATATATATATATATATATATATATATATATATATATACAATAACAAGCTCACCTCTTGCTGACAGGAGGTTACTTATAAGTTTGCACTTCCACACCTCGTCTAAAGGTAACACATACAAACAAGTCTTTATGCTCCTGGACAGTACCTGTACAGTATCTTAAAAGTTTTGTGAACGGATTGTGTTTCGTATACGAACCACATCATATAATTGCTTTCAGAAAAAAAAAAAGGTCGTGCCGTGCACGCCTATAATCGCTTCGTCCCCATGTTCACGGTAAAAGAAAATATTAAATACCAACAATAACCTAAGCTACCGTAACTTAACCAAGCAACTCACAATCCTAATGTTTATGTTGTGTAGGGAGAAGGAGACAAGTTATGAACGAAACAACTATGATTTTATTTAACTTAAATTCTGCTACGTTGTTCAGTTGGCCTAAACTTTAAAAAACAAAGTTTTGTTATTGGCAAGAGAAACACTTCTCCGTAACGTGTATATAAGTATATCGGAATAGATGAGAGCGCAGTAGGTGTTTAGAGCATTATAGCGAAGACAAGAATGGTAAGGGAGCATTACGAGAACAAGGTCGAAAGCAAGAGAGCGAGAAAAAAAAACAAGAAATGGGTGAGCAAGAATTTTAGATAAAATGTAATATGTAGACCATCATTACAATACAGGAGAGAGACGGGACAATGTAGAGAAAGACTTGGCGAAAATTATGTTAGTTGTGGGAAATACAAGTATACTGTATGTTTGGTGAGGTGAGTATGCAAAGTGAAATATTTTGAAATGAAATGAATGAATGTGGAGGGAAAGATCCACGCTGTATACTGTTTATTATGGTCATGTTTGAGCAAAAGTGTGTGAAGCTTTACTACCTTCTTATTGATATCCTATCCTATTTTACACTTGTTTTGCACCAAGCATAATTCATCCACCTTCCTCCTATACTTGTTTAGGTTTCAGCACTACTTGGTCTACCTGACACACACAAAAGGATAAGATTAGGTTGAGAAAGTAGATGGGTTACCCTATTAAATTATCTCGTGAAGAGAATATCTCAACAGAGTAATTTAAACGGTGTTTATTAACTACTTTTCATAAATCAGGGGTGGATTCATAAGACAAAGCTAAATGACTAAATAACCAAATTGTCAGTGCTTAATAGTTTCGGAGTTACAGCACATGATAGGTATGGTAGGAATGTGGTGGAACATCCAATGGACAGAATGAAGCACATTCATAATAATAATAATAATACTAATATCATAATTAACGGTTTATTGGAAAAACATGGAAGCCGGAAGGCTGAAAATATGGGAATGGGACAACTGGCCGCCGCCATCTGGCCGCCGCGGACTGGGGGTAAACTGCAAACGCCTAATTTTGCGCTCTCAAGGCAGGTTAGGTTAGGTTAGGTTAGGTACTTCATGGGCTGCGGCCAGATGGCGGCGGCCAGTTGTCCTAGACCCTGAAAATATAGTTATATAATGGACGAGTTGACGGTTCTGGGTAAACGCAAGAAATACACTCTGCCACATTCGTAGAGTGATACGGTATATATAATTTGTTTAAAGTCCTGCTATAATAGTCGAGATAACTTTATTTCTCTAGAAACGGGACTGCCATTTGCCATGACGTCACTAGTTTCAAACACCGCTGGGCTGCAGTCGTAGGGAGTAGAGAGGATGACCTCTTCAGACCCCAAATGCCACGTTCAAGTAAGTTTTAAGGGTGTTTTTTTATGGTTTAAGTCATGGATATTTCGTAAGTGAAGAAATATACCGTGAAGAGCTGCTTCAAACATGGGTTGGATAGATATAAGAGCGATAAGGTTTGGGTGTAAATGGGACTGTTCAGTAACGGCCCGCTGCAGTTTCCTCCATTCTTATGCTCATTTGGACACAAAAACCTCCCATGTTCACACCAGCTCAGCTGACATATACTCTTACCTGGTAGACTGTCTCTTTTTTTTCCAGTGCATTTACAGAGTATATCAGTACTAGATGGAGACTCGAGTAAATTTAGAAGTGATGACATTGTCTGGACTTTGTTTTGAGAATGCCTGATGCTAGGTAAACACGACAACATAATGCTGTTATTGTTTTGATGATTCACTAATGAACCACTGGAATATGTCATCATTTATATTAATTAATGGGTAATATTTTACTTTAACTACCATAAATATTTTGATGTTTAGATTCGAGATAGGCTATATAGGGTAAATTTTAAGTTTTGGTCATCCCTGTACTTAGACATGCAGACTATATTTCTTTCTGATGGTTTGCGATGTGTTATGAACGATTTTGACCTTCATTTCTCTCGGAAATCACTAGTTTTGAGTTACTACCCCCTCCCTCCCCTTACCGATGTATGTTAAGCTAACCTTATAACTCATCATACCCTAACCTAATCTAACCTAACCTAACCTATGATCTGTATTTTCTTATGCGATCGAAAAATGTTTTGATACGGAAATCCTGTAGAGATAATGTGTGAGGGAATTACTACACCACGTCAAGTCCCTCATAACACCATCTGTGAGGGAATTACTACACCACGTCAGATCCCTCATAACACCATATGTGAGGGAATTACTACACCACATCAAGTCCCTCATAACACCATCTCTGAGGGAATTACTACACCAGGTGAGGGAATTACTACACCACGTCAGGCCCCTCATAACACCATCTGTGAGGGAATTCGTACACCACGTGATGCCCCTCATAACACCATCTGTGAGGCAATTACTACACCACGTGAGGTCCCTCACAACACCATCTGCGAGGGAATTACTACACCACGTGAAGCCCCTCATAACACCATCTGTGAGGGAATTACTACATCACGTCAGGTCCCCCCTAACACCATCTAGGAGGGAGTTAATACACTACGTGTTTGCTGTTCAACACCTACATTAATCTATATGTTCACTGTATGTTCGTTTACCTTTCTCTAATGAAGGCTTTTGTTAAACCACCAATGTATGTAATAAGTCATTTATGTCCAATGTATATTTTCAGCCTTCGGGCTCCAGAACTTTTTCAATAAACCGTTAGTAATAATTATAATTATTATATATATATATATATATATATATATATATATATATATATATATATAGGTGTGTCATAGGAGGGAAGATCAGCTAAAACTAATGGCCCATCACTTTTTGGTAGATTTTAGTGTATATAAACAGAAA